GTCTGTTAATTAGGAATTGCTTTTCATTAGGAAACTTTTCATTATAGTAGGAATCCTCCTGAGGCTATATATACTGGCCGCCCCACTCAAGGTTTTCTATCTTAGGTTTTGGAGAAAAGTATTGTAGAATACATTGTTCTTAAAGTTATTGAATTTATCGGATTTCTAGGGATTTTAGATTGTTTAGGCTATTAGATCGCTTTGTCGACAATCTAATAGAGGTTTTGCATGCGCTTAGTTGATGGGTGCAAAATCAAATTAGGGTTCTTATCAATTTTTGGTGCTTTCGTTGAGAGGGGTTCGACTGTCTGCAATGGCATAATCGTCGTCGGTTTCAGATCATTGGTGAACTACCCTCATTTGATCGCTTAGTTGATGTGTGTAAAAAAAGTTGTGGTGCATCTGGATTTATTATTGGTGAACTACCCTCAATTCAGAGGGGAATATGAGGCTAGTGCCTAAGGATGTGATTCACTCTAGTAGTTGGATGAAAAAAATGCACTAAGAAGAGGATTTGGCAGGTGTTGATACACTGGAAGGGATCAACTGTGAATGAGGCAACATGGAGGATTATGATGAGCTTAAGGAGAGATTTCTAGAATTTACACTTGAGGACAAGTGCAGTAACGAAGGAGGGAGAATAATGTGCTTCATTGTTAGGAATTATCTTCTTATTACGAAAGTTTGAACATGATAGAACTATCGTTTTATTAGAAAAGTTTGAGTTTATTAGGAATTGTCTTTTTTTTATTATGAAAGTTTGATTAAGAAAGTTTGACCCATTAGGAATTGTTTTTTTAATTAGGAAAGTTTGATTAAAGAAGTTTTCATTGTAGTGGAATTTCTCTTGATGCTATATATATGGCCGGTCTATAGCCATGAATTTTTTTACCTTTGGCTTTGGAGAAAATATTCTAGAAGACATTGTTCTTGAAGTGTTGTTGAATTTATCGAACTTTTGGGATTCGGTCTTGGATTTTTTTAGGCTATTAGATCGCTTTGTCGATGAGGTTTTGCACACACTTTGTCGACGTGTGTAAAATCTAATTAGGGTTCTTATTATTGGAGACTACAACTACAATAAATAAATTAATAGGGAATGTTTGGCTAAACTTTTGTCAGAGCTTGAAACTTTGCTTCTCATTAACCGATACGAAATATATAGATAGCAATTAAGTGTGTACAACAACTTAATTTTTTGAATTGGAAATACAAATGTTCAAAGTAATGAGAAATCTGATCCTACTGTTGAAAAGGATGAAAATACTAATCGGAGTTGGGTTAGTCTCTTCTCTGATAACAGAAAACCTGGATGCGGTCTGTCTTTGAGCTTTGTTCCTTCAGAAAATAATACAGTCAGTTTTAATGATGAAGAATGGAATGAAGGTATATCCTTATGGCAATTCTCTCTTGTTGGACATGTCTTGGGTTTAAATGTTCAATATAAGGCCATGGAGAATTTTGTGCAAAAAACCTGGGCTAAAAATTGGCCATACCTGAGGTTTATTTGCTTAAAACATGTTTGTTCCTTTTCAAGTTTAAAAATAAGGAAGAGATGAATGATGTCATTGTCAATGGACCATGGGTTTTTTGGTTCTAGACCTATGTTATTAAAGCAATGGTCTATTGGTGAAGATTTGTAGAAAGCTAAAGACTGTATATATCCAATGTGGATACAATTACCTACTCTCAGACTCAATTTGTTGAATGGAAAAGGAATTAGCAAAATAGCAAGTGCTATTGGACATCCTATTGCCACTGATAAACTCACAGCTAGTAGACAAAGATTGGCATATGCTAGAGTCCTTGTTGAAGTTAAAATGCCATCAGCACTCACTGATTAGATCCTTATTCAAGGTCCTAATGGGCAAAATTATTATTAGAATGTGGTCTATGAATTAAAGCCTAGATGGTGTGATCATTGTAACCAATTGGGACATGATACTAAGTTTTGCAAAAGGAGACTAGTGGTTCAGAAGTGAATTCCTAAAAAAGGCAATGCTGGTAATAATGCTGTAAATGTCAATGACCTATGTCCAGCTCAAAGACAGGACAATGTTGTGAAAGAAAATCAGGAGGCTATACACAGTTATGTGCATGTTGTGCAGGTTCGACAGCCAGGAACTGAAGCTATAATGCAGGAAAAATACTGGTAACACACATGTTGGCCAAAGCTCAGCCCAGGAGAAAATACACTGTTCTGTGCATGTTGCACAGGTTCAGCAACCAGGAATTACTAATATTCTGCAGGAAAAAGAAGTGGTTAACACATATTGTTCGTTATCCTTGACGCGCGATGTGTTAACGAGGTTCGGCCCTCTGGCCTACGTCCCCGCTCCCCACTCTCGAGGAGAAATCCACTACACACCCGGTTTGGAAGCCGGAACTTCGTCTACACAGCGATCTCCACAGATCTCTCTCACTACACAGTTTGATCTCACAGATCACTCTCCCTCACAGTTGATCTCAACAGATCTCACTCACACAGCAGAAGAAACAGTGAAAGAACCTCTCTTTACACAGCCCCTATAGCAAAGAGAAGGTATACTGAAGCTGGGAGGTGAATCACACTTGAAACAGAGAGAAGACAGACTTTGAAAATTTTTCTCAGGAAAACAAAATACTCTCTGGTTTTCAAAACGTTAGGGCTGAGGAAGAAGAAGAGGTCTGGGGGGTTTTTATAGAAAAGTTTAAATCATTTTAAAACAAAACTCAATCTTCCCAAATGAGATAATAATCTCTTCTTCAGACCCTCATCACAGACTGTGCCAATCACTAACAAGTGAAAGCACAGTGTTCGATGTAAATGACCGTTTAAAAAAGTCACGGCTGACCAAAGACAAAATCCGGTTGACCGAAGAGAATTTCGGTCGACCGGAAAAAGCCTTCGGTCGACCGAAAAAGTGCTTCGGTCGACCGACCGAAAAGTTCGGTCGACCGCGAGCAGCTAAGGAAAATATGGAAAACAAGCAGAGACTCATCGGTCGACCGGCGCGGTCGACCGATTTAAAGATCGAAATTTCGGTCGACCGTACCGGTCGACCGACGACTCTCTGGAAAAATACTGATTAAGGGTCATAGGATCGGTCAACCGTACCGGTCGACCGATTTCTGATATTTTCTTGAAAAAGGATTTTTGACCAACTTGAAATATTTGCAAAATATTTATTGGACCTCTGAAAATTCTGAAACTTTGTAAAATGTTTTTAATACTAAAAACAAACTGTTTGGAAAAAGAATTTTGCAGATAGGTACTCATACTTGTGAAAAATAGTATTTTGTGAAAAACGCTTAAAAGCATAAGTCTAAAAACGTGTGTGTGATTCCCAATAGCTTCAAGTAAACTCAGTAACTCTTTGCCTACATTCTAGTACTAGAGAGGAAAACAAAAGAAAGCTAATATCCTCATATAGAGTGCAATATTTGAGCTTTGATATAGCTTGAATCGGATGAAGCTTTTATTCGAATTTGTCGTTCTTGAAATAACGTTGCTTCATCTCTTGGCCTCCTCCTCCTTTGTATATTTTCGTTGTAGCGTATATTCCATCCATCCTCCGTTGATGGCACTAACGAGCTTGACAAATGAATTTACTACATTTATACTCAATAAGCCATTAGTACCGATAATGGTGGTTGTGAGAACATCATCAAAACATAAGGGCTAACACATATGATGGGATTTGTTCTGTTCATACTATGCTAATGCAACAAAAAGGAAAAAACATTAATGAAACATGCTCCTTGACTCTAATTCAAAGGAAGAATATGAAGAGACCCATCAACTCCTTCTCACCACTTATGGGATTGGCTGGTATAGATCCCTTTACAGCAGATAGAGGTGGCTTTAATGCAAACCTATGAATCTCTCATTTTGGAATATCAGGGGATTAAACAAATCCCCAAAACAACATTTGGTTAGGCAATACCTAATGCAATATCATCTATCTTTTCTTGCATTATTGGAAACAAAAATAAAAGGTGGCAACATACAATCTATTGCTAAAAATATGACAAATAATTGGAGATGGTTCTCAAATGCTAATAGATCTGAAAAAGCGAGGATTCTACTTATATGGGATCCAAGCATTCTGGACATACAAATTTTCAACTTCTCTGGTCAGCATGTCACTTGTGTTGTCAAGTCTTTTGATGGAAGATTAGACTGTATCATCTCTTCAGTCTATGGATATAATCAATTAGAAGCAAAGAAAAATTTATGGTTGGAGTTATCTCAAATTCATCAGTCAATTGGAGGAATGCCTTGGCTATTATGTGGAGGCTTTAATGCTATGACAAGCATGGAAGAAAAAATGGGAGGAATCAGTCTCACTGAAACAGATGCCAGAGACTTAAACCAGTTTATTACAGTTTGTCATCTTTCTCACCTAAAAACAATTGAGTGTTTCTTCACTTGGAACAACAAACAAGATGCTACTACCAGGATTTGGAATAGACTAGATATGGCTCTAATTAATGACTCCTGGCTTCATGACTACAATTCAAGCCATGTTGAATTTTTGCCTCCTCAATTCTCTGATCATTCTCCTGCTCTAATATCATTATATGAGGACAATTTCAAAGGGAAAAATCCTTTCAAATTCTTTAACATGTGGACCAAGCATGAGAGATTTATGCCTATAGTTTCACCTATCTGGCAATCTTCAATTGAAGGGCATACTATGTATAAGGTAATCACTAAGCTCAAGCTTCTCAGAAATGCTCTGAAAGATCTAAATAAGAGAAGATTTTATAATATAAGTGAGCAGGTTCTTAGAGCAAAAAGTGATCTGGAAAATATCTAAAGGTTACTCCAAATAGATCCTCTTAATCCTGAGTTTATTAGAAAAGAAAAAGAACAAATCACATCTTACAATAGATTGCTGGAATGTGAGTTATCTTTCTTTCAAAAAAAATCAAGGATTGCTTGGTGTCTTCAAGGGGATAGATGTACAAACTTCTTTCACTCAATTATTAAGAAGAATAGACAACATAATAGAGTGATGGCTTTCTATAACAACATGGGAGATAAAATAACAGATGGGGAAGGTATTGCAAGTGAATTAATTAGTTTTTTCAAGAATTTGATGGGCACTACAGTCTTCACCAATGCACCTGATGTGGACATCATTCAAATTGGCCCCTGCCTTTCAGAGGAACAAGCTAGTTGCATATCATGCCCAGTATCCAAAGAAGAGATTAAGAAGCCTGTTTTCTCAATGTCAGACAATAATGCATCGGGGCCTGATGGCTATAGTGTTGCATTTTACAAATCTTCTTGGGAAATTGTTGGAGATGAAGTTACTTTAGCAATAGAGGAGTTTTTCAAAACCGGGAAGCTTTTGGGAGCAGTTAATTCAACGTCAATCACCCTCATACCAATGGTACAATGCCCTCAAAACCCCTCTAAATTTAGATCTATTTCATGCTGCAACTCCATATACAAGTTTATATCAAAAATACTTGCAAAAATACTTCAATCAGTTATGGGTGCCATCATTAGTGAAGCTCAAAGTGCCTTTGTAAAAGGCAGAAAAATTTCAAGCAATATACTGCTGGCTCATGAACTGGCAAAGAACTATGGCAGAAAGCATTTATCTCCAAGAGCAATGATTAACATTGATATTAAGAAAGCTTTTGACTCGATCAGTTAGGATTTCCTGAAAAATATGCTTCAAGGCCTGGGGTTTCCTAAAGTTTTTTCTGACTGGATTATGTCATGCATCTCATCTCCCAAATATTCTATCTCTCTCAATGGTTCTCTTCATGAGTACTTCAAAGGAGCTAGAGGTTTGAGGCAAGGTGACCCTCTCTCCCCCTATCTTTTTATCATAGGAATGGAGTATCTTACCAGGAGCCTGAATCTGGTAAAGCATGATAGAATGTTCAAGTTTCATCCAAAATGTGCCAAACTCAAAATTACACATCTCATTTTTGCTAATGACCTTCTCTTATTCAGTAGAGGGGATTTTTATTCAGTTCAGAAGCTTCACCACTGTGTCACAAACTTTGGAAAAATATCAGGTCTTGAAGCTAATGCATCAAAGTGTGCTGTGTTCTATGGGGGTGTTGAGGAATCTGTTAAAAATGCTATACATAGAGACATGGGCTATTCTGAAGGAAGCTTGCCTATAAGATACCTTGGTGTTCCTTTGATATGTAAAAGGTTATCTTTCATTGATCGTGCTTCTCTCTTCAAGAAAATAACCACCCAGTTCCAGACATGGAGGAAACATAAAAATCTGTCATATACAGAGAGACTTCACATCATTAAAAGTGTCATTCTTGGTATTCAAGTCTTTTGGACATCTAACTACATTTTACCAATCAAAGTGCTCCAGAGAGTTGATGATATGTGTAGAGATTTTTTATGAGGGAAAACTGATCAGAATTTTAAAACTTCACTGGTTGCTTGGGATAAAGTCTGCAAGGAGATGAAGCATGGTGGATTGGGTGTTTTCTCAGCAACAAGATGGAACATAGCCACAACTTTAAGAATGATATGGTACATTCACATTAACAAGGAGATGTTATGGATAAAATGGATCCACGGCACATATCTTAAAAATAATACAATCTGGAATGTCAATATCAAAACAGGGGATTCTTGGATGTGGAAACAAATCCTTAAAACTAGGGATAAAGCTATTATCAGCTGTGGAGATATTGAAAACTGAATCCAACATGTCAGCTCATGTTACAAGGGATCAAAGGTCAAAATCTCGGAACTCGATACTGTTATTTCCCCTCCAGCAAGCAAAGTACAATGGTATAATACACTATGGGGGAGTTTGAATTACCCAAAGCATAACTTCATCTTATGGCTAGCTGTGCTTGACAAACTGCTCACAAGGGACTGTTTGGTGAGGAGATGTATCATTCAAGCTGGACATTGTTGTTTATGCAACGGGTCTGCTATAGAAACCAGAAATCATTTGTATTTTGAATGTAATTGTTTAAATGTTGTCTGGAATAAAATCATGGACTGGCTATGTTTTAAATGGAGGGCTAGCAACTGGAACTTGGTGATGAACTGGTTCAGTTACAGGCTAAGAGGGAAAGGATTCAAGCAAAAAGTGAAGAGATTGGCTTTATCTGCTACAATATATTGCTTATGGAGGGAGATAAACAATAGAATTTTCAACCATGAAATCAAAAGTGTTGACCAGATAACAAGGGAGATCAAAGTAGATATATTGACAATCACACTCAACAGCTCCATTTCAGCGGAACATAAAGCATGGCTTTTAGCTTATATATTGACAATCACACTCAACAGCTCCATTTCAGCGGAACATAAAGCATGGCTTTTAGCTTTATAAAAGCCAATACTTGTAAATAGTCAACAGCTCCATTTCAGCGGAACATAAAGCATGGCTTTTAGCTTTATAAAAGCCAATACTTGTAAATAGTTGAGCTTCTCCTTTTGTGAGTAGTTGTTTACTTGTGATTTTCTTTCAGCTTTGTTAGTGCTGAATTTTTGAGGTATACATAACTTCAAATTTGGGAAATGAAATAAAAATTTGGGAAATGAAATAAAATTTCTTCATTGACCAAAAAAAAAAAAAAACCTTAATTTTTGCATCATGTAGCCATTCTCACTATATCCTCATTTCTTACCGTCTTAAGAAAGGTAACTGGATATGTCGAGCTTCAATTAGTTGGAATTCCAGGGAAGGATGAATTAGATCCTGGAGGCTGCATGTATACCGTGACCATCTCTTGATCAATTAACAACATAAAGGAGAGGAGGATGAGGGCTTCATCAGATCGATAGATAAAACTTTGGAACCTTAGGCCACATCTCCATCCGAGTTGTCGTTATCCGGCGAATTCAAATGTTTATGCGCATGCAGGATTACAATCGTCAAGTAGATGTCCAGTCCACGATAACTTACAACTTAAAGCATAAAGAGTGAAAAGAACAATCACGGTGCTACAGAAACTCTGTTCTGTTCATGTATTATTAAGCTTGTAGCCATTATGAGAATCAACGACCAAAGTTAGCAGGGGAGGGCCTTTGATAAATCAAGATTTTTGTTGTCAACTACCAGCGTGCTCCCTCAGCACAACAAGCACGCAAAGGGCTGTAGCTTGAACAATTTGCACTGGAAAACTCTTCACTTCCATATCCCCACAAAGGCCGCACAAGACGAGAAACAACTCCTGCATCACAAATTAAGGCTCAATTCATCGTACTATACTACTATGGATAATAATATTACATGACTAGCTTCCAAGCTTGACGAGCTACACATCGAGATTAAACTGCTCGGGGGAAACAGACAACGCACGGATTCAGAAGTGAAAGGAACAAAACATCGATCAGATGAACCAAACATAAGCTTTTTTAAATGAAACTCTAGTAATGTTTGTTAGTACATAATAGATATGCACGACCGCTACTTCCAGATAATTGTGCACACAAATCATGGGGGTGCCGGTTCGCATAAAGAGAATTGTAGAAGATGATTCCCTGCAACCAGAGGTTCCCCTAAAATACAACAGTGTCAAGCATGGTTCCCAGAGTCTGGACTATGTTGGAGGACATGAGATTGGAAACATGCTCCTCGAGATGCTTCTTTGCGTCTTGTCTTCCAACATTTGCGATTGCCAATTTCTCTGGAGGCAACTCATCCTCCTCTTGCACAGCTTTGTTGTATTTAATAGCCAGGTTCAGCATTTCCTGTTCACAATTTCACAAAAGCACAAAAGCCCATTAGCAAAAAGTTCTGCTATGGCTTCACAATTCTAACCAACATCAGAGATATATGATGGATAACTTAGATATGTATACCTGAACAGTCTGCTCATTGGTTTTGGAGTGTGTGTCAAAACGCCGCAGTGTCAACCCATCAGTCCATTTCTTCTTATGAAGGTTCAATAACATCTTTTCTTCAAGCTCATTCTTCCGGTAGTTGATGGCTATAGAGTAGTAGTGTCGATTAAGTCCATGAATCAGGGCCTGAATTTTTTTGTAAGAAAATAAGTTAAGAGAGTGGTAAAAATGAGTAGTCAGAGATAGTTACTTGAACAAGCAGCAGACCTGAATAGATGGTTTGTTCAGATGCCCCAAGTTGGAAGTAGTCTGGCGAGGCTCTTGACCTAACATCATCGTTTGTGGATTGATCAAGCGGAAAGCATCAATGACCACCTTCCCTTTAACACTCTGGATGGGATCAACCACAACAGCAACTGCTCTAGGATTTAAAGCTTCAAAACTCTGCAAGGAGCAAGCAGATATTAAGCTTATCTAAGTCACTAGCCTTACACGCGTGGCAGAGCCATATAGAAAACTTGTCACGAGAACGGTAAAACTAGATCAACTAAAGTTAATTTGCAATAAAGCTTTTACTAAAAACTGAAACCGTGTAACAATAACAGGAAATGGTTAAGTTAGTCATAACTGAAAATCAGTAAATTTTGAGCAAAAAATTTGGTGGACTTGTCTTTCAATGTTATATCAGGGGATTTGTTGTATTGCCAATATCAGTAAAAAGGTAAAGCGTCTATCTAAAAGAAGAACCCTCAGCATGCACGGGATTCAAACTGGTTGTAATCTAAAATATGAAAGAAAACAGGATCATGCATCTGGAGACATGTGGTAAGCACCATAATCTATAAAGATATAATTGCTCCTATCTTTTGTACAAATGAAATCATAACAAGGCAATTTTAATCACGAGGCCAAGATCATTGAACACAAATATGTTAGGACAAATTAAAAGGGGACAACTTTAGTCACGAGACCAAGATCATTGACACAAATATGTTAGGACAAATTAAAAGCGGACAGACCTGTTGGGTATTAATATCAACTCCAGAAAGCCAACAGCCGAAGCCTGGATGCGAATGGTACCATCCCACCACCATTTCTGGCCTGTAATCAAATTTGAGTTTTTATTCATGTTCTAGGAATTAAAAAACCTTAATAAATATAACAAAGAATATAGTAACTTTCATATTCACTTGCTACAAGTTTATAGACAGAAATCACGATCTAATTACTACTCGGACTGGTACAAAATCACCACGGAAAGAAATGCTACCATGTTAAGCATCAACACAGTCCCTACTTCCAATACCTAAAGCATATACCTCAAAAGCTATCACCAGTACCATCCTTGTAGCAGTATGTTGGCATCTACGACAGAAGGTCTTCAATTGAAATGAAACCAAAATCTTTTTCTTTTGGGTTATCCATGTGATAGCATAATTGCAAAATTTCCTTCCCCCTTCTCCTTCAATTATATCCCCATCCAAGTGTGCGTCAAAGTTTGGGATGAAATAAAGAATACAACTTTTAGGAAACAAAGTAACAACAGGTAATTTTGGGAATAACTTTAATCCTTCAAAGTAACAACAGGTGATTACTTCGGAAAGTTCAGGGTTGTTGAGATGACAAACGTAGCTGTTGTGAAGAATGTACTAGGTAAATTGTTATGAAGAACATAATGGACTGACTGGTTTTATTTGTTTACATATCATCAGACACTGTTTATCTGTGACCCACCTGATGACACGATTAGAAGACTCTGAGCACATGTTTTTGGCAAGGAAATCTCCATTCTAGCAGTATCCTTAAGGATAAAGATCCCGCTGTTTGTCCTAATTGAAGTTGAAAGTGAAATGTACAATTTCAGTTATGTCCAAGATGTTGTATGGAACAGTTGGGAATATTCCTCACCTTCTTCCATCACAAAACATTCCTCACAGTTAACCCTACTAATAAAACTTCCCTGACACCACACATATGAAAGGGAAGGTCCTCAAACATTCATTTTCTTGGCAAATAAGGTGAGGGTGCAACAGTTTAAGAAATCTAGGTGACAACTTTGGTTTTTGATGTGAAGTACTCACGATGTTTATAATTCTGAAATCCTAGCTAAAATATGTACAAAGTCAGAACAAAAAAAAAAAAAACCTATACTGTTAATGAATATAAGATGAATATACCCACTCAAAACAAATTGGAACTACAACCTGTCCTCTTGGTGCCTAGCAAATCTTCATCATGCCTATTTCAATGCAAGGGTTCCAAGATGCTAGCCAATTTATGCATGTTTAGAACCTATACATAATCCAATGTAAATGTGGTCACTTGAAATTCTCAACAGTTAATATGAAGCAATTACGGATTGAAAATATAGACAAGCGAATTTCTATGTGGAAGGATTGCATGGACCAAAATATAGATAACCGATTTATGCATTTAAACAAACTGTGCAAGTACATGCAGATCAGAGATCTTGTGAGATTTGGAATAATTACAAGATCTTGGTTTGAACCAAAATAAATTTAGGGTTACTAGCGTCCACCACACCTTGCAAGAGCATCTACGGGTCTTATGAGAAAAATTTGCCCAAATTTTCTTTTTCTTTTTTGAACTCACCTTCCAGTTTGCTTGAGCATATCAAGCATATTGGTCTGAAACACGTGATCAACAGCCTCAACACTAACCCCAGTTCCACTCTGCGGCATCGCGAACACATCCACAACTCGAACCGTGTACTCATCGACAAACTCTCCGAGCATCAGACCCATCACCTCCATAGGAACCCCAGCTCTCCCTACAGTTCAAATCATTCGAAACCCTAAATTTCCAACGGAGAAACGGAACCCTAGATCTAAAAGTTTTAGAGCTTTTTTCTTAAATTTACCGTGCTTGAGCATTTTGAGGAGAGCGAGAGATGAGATGTATACTTGCTCCGATGAGTCGAGGAGAGGGGAGTCCGTCGGAGGGTGGCCCATGCCACCGGCGCCGGAGAAAATACGGTGTAATCTCTCCATTGCTTTGATCGGACAACAAGGACTCTAGTGATCTTGTTGAGCAGAAGAAAGGAGAGATCAAAAACAGGAGAGCAGAAGAAAGGAGGGACAAATTAAAAAAAAAAAAAAAATTTTAGAGAAAATCTAATTTCGCTACAGCAGCCGGAGAGTTAATCCCAGGAGTCGAGGATTCTGAAGGAAGGAAAGAACAAAATGCTCTCTTTGGCTTTTATACGAAGCTTAAACGGGTCGAATATATAAGCGAGTTATCCTAATCCGAACTCAGAGCGGCATGCGAACGGTTAGGGGCTGTTTGGTTGTTGTTGGTAAAATTGTGTATTTATGACACAACTTGGAAAGTTGTTGTTCAGCTCATCAATTTCACTTGTATACTTTTCTTTATTTGTTTTTGATTCAATTGGAATCATAAATTGCTTGTTTGGTTTGTAAATGTAACATTAATTGTTTGTTTGAAAAGTGTAAAAAATGGTCCCTACTCAAATGATCATATTGGTTGGAATTATTTTTTTTTTATTTTTTTCTGACTTCAATGTCAACTTTCTCCTAAAATCATGTCTTTTTTTTTTATGAAACCACTTTACAAGCCACATCAACATATGAAATCACTTTACATTATTTTCACAACTACAAACAAACAATTGAAAGTGAAGAAAGCTGACATTGGGACCCACTTTTTTACACTTTCCATCCTTTTACATGGTAAAAACATACAACCAAACAGCCACTTAGCTTCGGTGTGTTTTGACTACTTTTTGTCAAACCCAACCAAATCGAATTATATTCAAAACCGAATCATTTCGAGTAAAGTCGGCTCGGTACGGTTAGGTTTGGTTAGTTCTGTCTGGGCATTGACTTGTCAAGTTAGAAAAATTTTAGAGAAAATTGCTTCTAGGCCCCAAATTTGAACTTTCAATGTACCCCAACCCCTCCTTTTTTTTAATGTGCTTTAGCCCCTTTTTTTTTTGAAAAAAATGTGCCCAAGGCCCCTCCATCATGATTCCAACTCATGCTAACAGTTGATTAGACATGTCAGCTCATGATTAGACATGTCAGCTGGCTTAAATGCCAAATTTACCCTCTTCTTTCTCATGTCAGCGGATGTTAACTCTTACAGCTAACATGTTAACTTTTATAGCTAACATGTTAACTTTTACAGATATCATGTTAACTCTTACAGATAACATGTTAACTCTTACAGCTAACATGTTAACTCTAACAGCTAACATGTTAACTCCTACTAATGTGCCCACACGAAGTTCCTCGGGATGGCGCAGGTGGCGGAACAGGGGAGGAGACAAAGGGAGACCGGAGGAGGAGGAGGGAGGTGTAGGGGGGGTGCAGCGGTTGGGGAGCTAGGGAGGGCGGGAGGGCAGGAGCGCGGGACGAGGCGTTCGGGGGAGAGATGCAGCGGGGGAGTGAGGTTGGGTGTGGAGGGAGGAGCGAGGAGGTAGGGAGAGGAGGGGAGGGGAGGGAGGCGGCGTGGCTGGTAAGCGAGGTGTGGCGGGCTTAGGGAAGGCGGGGAGGGAGGTGGCGTGGGGGTAGGGAGGTATGGGGCTAAGGAGTGAGGGGGGAGTGGCGGCGAGGGTAGGCGCTGCGCGGTGGGAGGGAAGAAGCACGCGGCATGGGGTTGCGTGGGGCAGGGAGCGACATGTGGAAGCTGGAAGGAGGCCGGCGTGTGAGGGAGTGTGGGGGCTGCGGGGAAGCGGGCGAGGGGAGGGAGCGCGCGCTGTGGGATGGAGACGCCGCGTGTGGAGAGGGCGGTAGGCAGCGCGTGCGGGTGGGAGGTGCGGGAGGGAGACGGAGGTGCGCGTGGCGTAGGGAGGTGGCCAGCGGGGAGGGAGGCGGAGCGGTACGGGAAGGTGCAAAGGCGACCGATACGGATAAAGGAGGACGAGGAGGGAGGTGAATGGAGGGCAAAATCGGAATTTTGGACTGGAGGGGCCTGGACGTAATTTTTTAAAGAAGGAGGGGCTGCAGTACATTATGGAAAGCAATGAGGGCTGCAGCACAATGAAAATTGAGTTTTGGGGCATTGAAGTAATTTTCAGACAAAAGACAATATTCTTCACTCCTTTAAATCTACCGGTCATCGTCTATTCTGAGTTTAAAAGCAAACTCGACAAATCAACTACTTTACAAACTAAATGAAGCCTTAATCATTTAAGACTTATAGAAATATTAGGATGAATTATCTTTTCACCTATGAGGAGCATAAATTTTTAGACAATTATATTGAGATCGGTCGATCTGGTTTCAAAAATTTCAAAACTGATCAAAATCATCAAAGTTCAACTGGTTCGATCGGCTTTTCAGTCCGCACCAAATAGTGCTCAACCATACTTGACACCAAATTGACTAGAAAGTTAGGGTGCACAAAAATAGTCTTTTTAGAGACATCTCATAAAATTGGAACTATTATTGTATTCTCAGTCGCCAAAGTGTAGCCATTTGCCAGGGCAACCAAATTAACGGCCAGGGCAACCAAAGATCTCGTCTTAGCCGACTCGCTGAGTCGAAATCTCCTTAGATCGACTCGAATGGTGGAACTTGACGCCCCTGTTGTCGAAGATGACTCGCTATGAGCTCACTCGACCAGCAACTTAACGCCTTGCGAGGTCGACTTGAAAGGCGTTACTTCTCGGCTAAGCCAAAGGACGACTTCAGCCTCGAGCTTCCCCCACTGACAATGTGTCAGTATCGCATTTAATGCTTGGTAGACGCCATCATACCTCTCGCCCCGATAGCCTTCATAACTCATCAGGCCACTTCGACACCGTCATGCCTCCAATCACCTCGCATTTAATGCCGAGGTGACCTCTTCTCTACTCGTCGGCCGCCACCTGTAAAGTAGGTGCTGATGCAGCAACCACTCTATACTCATTTGTCACCCTACTGTGCTCGGCTGAAGTGACCATTTTACCCTTCTTCTACCAGTATAAAAAGAGGTACTATTCCAAAAATCAGCATAAGCAAGCAATATCTGAGAACTCTTCTCCATTGCACTACACTTAAGAACTCTATCAGTTCATTATTTTCTCACTCAAGCTCATAAACTGATTTGATCGTCGGAGGAACTACAGGGAAACTAAGCTCCTCTCATGAACTGTTATTTGTTTAGACTTCAGCTATTCAACTCAGAATCAGATATTCGGGGAAGGGAGCGGCCCCTAATCAACATCACACCTACCATATACTTGACTATTTGATTATTTAACATCAACGATTTGGCGTCCACCATGGGGCCTTCTTTCTTTTTTGAGAAAGCATATCTGGTTCTGAGAATAGAGCTAACCAGTCTCACCCAGAAGGACCACATCAGAGCTACATTACTCAAGCCCAGCTTGATGAAATAGCTCAGAAGATTGCTCAATCCTTCTAACAGCAACTCGCTACCTTCACTAGCGAGCTCCTCAGCCGGCTTCTGCAGCCGTAGCAAGCAACTTCTGTTGTTCCCCCACCTTCTGAAGACTAGAGATCAAAGACTCATCTCCCCCTCTGGAGTATAGAAAATAGTCTCACCTTGGACTCCTGATGCTACTGCCAAGCAGCGGAGAGATCACGTTGAGTACACGACTCCGCCACCACATCGGTCGACTCGTCCCCAGGAACCTCGCTGACGTCTCTTCTCTAATCCTAAAGTCACCGGCGAGAGTCCCAACCCTAGTCATTTCTAGGATCACATCAGGGGAGCAGTCTCTAAGACTCTCCCGCACCACCGTGCCTCTCTAGTCCCCTCAGCTACCACAGGGGCTTCTAGATATGATCAGGTGTACAAACCAATTGTAGAAGCCATTGAGGGAAGGGAAGCACCCCCTCTCTAATGACCTCATGAACGCCCTACATGAGAAGTTCAAGATGCCTCGCGTGGAGAAGTACAATGGCGAAGGAGACCCTTCGGAGCATGTCCAAAACTACTATGATGTGATGAGCATGCTCCAAGCATCATAAACAATTATCTACTGATGCTTCCCTATTACTCTATCGTGGAGTGCTAAGATCTGGTGGAACACCCTTGAGAAGAAGTCCATCAACCACTTCTAGCAACTCAACCAGAATTTCATCCACCATTTTCTAGCTGATACCAAACAGAAGCTACCCCCTCATGTGTTGATCCAGATGAGGCAAGGGCCCAGAGAAAGCCTTCGAACCTACTTTAAGAGATTCCAGGAGAAGAGGCTGTAAGTTAATGACTCAGGGAGTGCAATTGCTATGTCCATCGTTGTGGCCGGCTTGCATAGCAACGAATTAGCCGACTCACTCGCCAAGAAGCTAGTCGCTAATTATGAGCAGCTGATGGCCAAAACTCATGGATATATGGACATGGAGGATGCACGAACTTACAAGGCAGAAACCAGAGCCACAAAGACCTCCATGGCCTTAACTTCAGCAACAACAGCAGCCGCACTACCAGCACTAGCGACACCTACCGACACTCACAGTAGCATCGGTGGTGACGCCGACACCAGACATCGACCTAGAAGGCCAGCCGCTACAAGGTAGGAGTGGCCGAGGAGGCCCTCGCACGAGTCGACGTCCTCACTCAACAATCGGCCAGACAGGAGAGATTGGCGGATGGATCAAGCACTGAGGCCCGCTGTCACTATCTTCAATACCTCCCTCACAAAAGCTCTCACCATGGTCCAAAAGGAGGGGTATCTCAAAGAGCCTGCTCCTCAGATGAGGTCGATCCCAAGGAGCCAAGATACTCGGTAGTATTGTCGCTATCATAGAGATCATGGCCACCTCACCGATGACTGCCGCATCCTGAAGAGGGATATTGAGGACTTGATTGAGAGGGGATACCTGAAGAAGCTCGTCTCTCAGAGAGACCGAAGGGTGTTAGACCCTAGAGGGGGGTGATTAGGGTCTTATGCTAATCTAATCCGATTAAATACCAATTAAAATTAATTATCAAGTTATCCTAGCAAATATGAAATACCACAAGATATATAAGCTAGGATAAGTAATGCAAACAAAAAGATATATCCTATATGATGAATATGTATATATGCAAGGATATATAAACTAAGGGTGATATAAACATAAACAAGATAAACAAGATAGTGGATAATGTGAACTAAGAGCAAATGACAAAGGCGATATAAACAATAGGCATGAATGTAAAAGAACGCCAATGACAAACTCAAACACACGATATGATCACGGAGTTCAGACCTTCCG